TTGTTGCTATTGTTTTTTTTTTTTTTTTGGGGGGTTTTTTTTTTGTTTTTTTTTTTTTTTTTTTTTTTTTTTGTAGTAGCCTCCTTTCCCTTGGCTTCTACCCCTTTTGTAGAAGGGGGAGGGAAAGTAAGTTTAACTTATTAAGAGAATGTGGTCTAGTACTTTTTAGCTTTGTTTCCTCTTCTGATGTACGAAGAGCTAGAACCCTTCATTTTGTGACTGAGCTCTCGTTGCAAAGCCATTTTTATGAGGCTGTGTTGTAAGATTTTTCTTTTTTTTTCTCTTTTTTTTTAATTTTGTGGACGGTGCCATTTTTTTATTTCATTTATATTATTTCTTTTGTAGATAAATTTCCGATCTTTAACTGATATTTGAGAATAGGAGCTGAAGGCCAGCCCCAGGTTCAGCCAGTTTTCTTTGGTCCTGTCCCTTCTGTTTTTTGGATAATTTTGCACAGCCAGTTGTGCTCATGCACAAGACAGACCAACTCAGGCTGAGAAAGGAGTGAGCTAAGAACTGAAGAACCTTGCAGAACATTACACTGATGTTGTGTGCAGTGGAGCCAGGCTGCCAGAATTAGGTGTCCTTACTCTAGTTGCTCTCTGGGAGATGTGGCCCGTTGCATTTCTCCCAGTAACCAGCAGTTTGCTGCCTTCTCTGTGACATCTGGGATCCTATGTGCTGTTAGGCCACCAAGAGCCAGCAGTAGGCCCAGCAAGTGTAATGAATTGCTTTGCTCTGGCTCCAAGAGTCAAGTACACCAATGCCCAGGGACATTTTGCTTAGAACTCTGAACCTGTTTTGTGCATCAGTGCTTTTGGACACGTTTCCCAGGATGAGACCTGGTTTCTCTTTAATTGCATTACTGTATGTTTCCCGTTTTGAAGGGACTTTAAATTACAGCTGAGTTTTCATTTGAACACATTGTGTCTGAATTTAAGTGGTTTTTTCCCCCCCTTGGCATTTCTTGTGTTTGAGGTTTCTTGAATCTCTTCAACTTCTTACGTATTTGCAAGTCTGTATCATTTCTTTTTCATATGTCTTCTCACGGCAGTGCATTTGCTGGATGCCCTGCTTGGTTTTGAAAGGATGTAAACTATCATTTGCAACTTGTGCTGATCTGTACATGTACCTGCCTCAAGCAGACACAGCATGTAATAACCCCCAAGTCATTCCATATGTGTCAGCGGTGAGATGAGCCAAAGTTGTATTTGGGTTATCACAGTCCAACCGTGATTCTGTGCAACTCTCTTAACCCGCCGGGTTAGACGGAAAGGAATCCCCACAAAATGAAAACAATTCAGTTAACTTTACTTAATAAACCTGGAAAGTGAGCTTTTGTGAAACATCTGCTTTTTGTCTCTTCTGAAACAGCCACCCTCGCTCGGGTTCCACATGCCTGGGGCACACAGCTCTGTGCCTTCCGTCCCATCCCTGGGCTGTGCTCTGCTCTCCAGGGTCCCTGTGCCAGCAATGCAGGGCAGGAGTCCGAGTCACTCGTGGTTTGATTCCTCTCCTGTGCAGTTTAAGTATTTCCTTACGTTTCAGAGGCGTCTCCCTCCTTCCTCCTTCTCCTCCAACTGGCAGCGGATGTGGGGCTGGGCTTCTGAATGAACCCTTTGTCCACAGCTGCTCTGGGCCTGCCTGTGGCATGTGGCAGAGGGACATCCCTGGTGGTCAGCAGCACAACCTGTGGGCAGCTGTGAGCTCTGTGTTGCTCTGTCCTCCGAGATGAGCAGCCTGGGCTGTGTGTTCGCTCTCATTTGCTGCTCAGGAGTGGTGAGATTTGTTCTGTGGCTGTGAGGGGCTGTGCACCCTGGCAGGTCTAAGTGTATCCTGTGCTACAGGTCAGGGTTTCCTGTCCACAACTTAAAAAGGAGACAGGACAGCCATTCCTGAAGAATGTGCTACTCAGGAAGGGTACAAAAGCCTTCAGGCTTTGAGCAGCACCGGTGACCATTGCCAGTTTCACTTTGTCACCGTCCATCGTTAGGATTAACCCTCTCTACGTGACGGGCTGCAGGAGGGTTTTGTAACACTTCTGTCTCTGTGGGGGCAAGGACTCATGGGGATTCCTTCCTGTAGCAAAAGGAAATCTGAACACGTCGTGTTGGAAAACTCCGTGTGTGAGTTGGTCCCTGCTGTGCCTGGGGCTGGGGGGTGCCGGGGCTGCTGCTGTGCTGAGGATCCCAGGGATGGGGATGAGCTCTCGAGGCGGCTCCGGCTGCACCGGGACTACGAGAACCGCTTGGGGGTGCCAGCCCTGCGGTTTCCAACAACTTAAAAGCTTTCTTGGAGCGGCTCCAGAGATTGCTCCGGGAACGAGTCCAGGCAAGGAGAGAGAGCACGTCCTGTGCTGCCCTAACTTTGAAGGACCCTTGCGTGTCCTCCAATAGAGATGCTGTTTTCTGGTGTGCAGTAGCAGTCTCCACTGCCATGTGTTTGTTTCACTGGCTTATGTTTGTAGCAGTTTGGGAGGAGAAGCTGGAATATCCCTTCAGCCACTGAAGGAAAATGCTGGTCCAGGTACTGACCTGTCCAAGCCCAGGTGTCACTCCCTTAAGCTGCTGCCATCACAGTCTCCTGTGCTGACTTCTCCTTTGTATTCACATTCCTGTGCTGGAATTGCCTTTGGTTATTTGCCCTCCTGTTCTAGAGCCTTGTCAAAATAGAGCAATGTTCCTACAGCTGGGACAATGCCCCATTTTCCAGGTCTCTTCTTCCTCTTGCTTCCCACCTCCTAAAGAGCCCCTGAGATTGTAGGGGGAGGAGAGCCTGGAGCTGGGAAGTGCTTGCCCACCCAAAGCAGGCCAGGTTTGTTGGGATGTAATAAGTTTTGCCACATGCATTTGGGTACTTTCCCTTAGCTGTGTGTCCCTCACATCCCAATCCTTCACTCCCCTCTCTGCCATGCAGACGTGGGAGCAGAGATGTCACAGGCTCAGCTGTGATCCCTGGGAGAGGGCTGTGCTCACATGGATGGAGCATGCTGACCTCCAGACTCAGTGCCATGCTTGCAATTTTGCAGGCTTAAAAAGAACCAGGAAGCTGCTCAGAAAAGTATTTAAAAAACAAAACAGAAATCCAAACATTCCTACAATATTTTATGCCAGAATGCTTTTGTTACAGATTTAATTTTTTTTTTAAGTTAACTTTGGTATTTTGGGGGCACTTTTTTACGTTGCATTTTACCAGCTTGTCAGTAGCAGCTCTCTGTGACGTATGCTTTTGCTGCTGGAACATGAAGGTAGCGTCCTGACTATAACAGCACTGATGAAACAAAATGAAAAAAGGCAAAGTATGACCAAAACTAACAATTCTGAACCTGGCATTCCTGCTGTGGGAGGAGGGCTGTAACTGGGACACTATTGGAGAGTTATAAAACAAAATACACGCTGAAATTTTCTTTTGAAATGGAAATTTGGAGCCGGTGCCAGCTCTGCTGCGGGCTCTGGTTCTCTGTGCAAGTGTTACACAAGCCAGACCTTGGGAAGCTGGAGAGGCTCTTTGGGATGGTGGGATTGCATCGTGGTGGAGCTGCTGTCCACTGCCACGTGAGGAGGGGGCATGGGATGAGTAGTGGCACAGGAGGTGTGCCAGCATGCTGGGGGATTTGTGGGAAGAGCACAGATAAAAACTGGCAGATTTTGACTGTGAGGAGAAGGAAAGAATTTGACTCATTTACAGAAACTGGACCTTGAATCTTTTCTATTTTCCTTAATCCATCAGGAGGGCACAGACTTGAAAACACCATTAACCCAAATAAGCTTTGGCAGCAGCATTAGAGGGAGAAAGGAAAGATCACTGCAGAAAAGCAAGTTGAGGCATGACAGCCCTCTCTAGCTGGTGAGAGAGGGTTTGTTTGGGGTTTTTCCTGTTAATGTAGTCAGTGTCTTTCAAGGTGAGCCTGCAACAGCCAACAGTGATGGGATCTGCCGTGATCCCTGTCTTCAGAATATGAACATGTCTGGAGTGTGGGTGATGTTTATGGCCCTTCCCAAGGGAGGAGGCTGGGGTGTCCCACGCCCCCCTGTCCCCCCTGCCCTCGCTTCCCTCCCTGGGAACTGACAGAAGGGTTTTGCTCTGCTTGAGCAACTTCAAAACCTGGTGGAAGACTCGGTCTCTGGCAATCACATTTCACCCATGCAGGAAAGGAAAGCAGCCTCAAGAAAAGACACACAGTAAATTCAGATGGGTTATGGGGCTGGGGCTTGTCTCTACCTCTTCTTCAACCTGGAAGAAAGTCAGGGCAGGTCAGGGTTGAAGCACACTTGATTCCTGCCCTGAGCTTTGCAAGTTCATTCACCGCATTCCTGGGATGAGAATGAATAACATAAATTCAGCATCTTTCTGCAGACAGTTTCCTCCCTTCCCTCCTGCAAGGGGACTCTCCACCTGGATCCAGTGCTTCGTGGGATGCTGGCAGCGTCACAAGGAGCAGATTTACAGGTTCTGGCTGGAGGGTTTTAGCCAAGTTGTGCTCCTTCAGAGATTTTCCATCTGAGCAGGAGTTAGTTTGTTCCCCCTGCCTGTGCTCTGGCTGCCCCCAAACAGGACAGGAGGGAGGTGAACGTGTGGAGCTTGTGGGTGAGGAGCCAAGCTGGGTTTCCCTTGATGCCAGGAAGATGCCCATGTCTGGTGGGAACCGAGGCCAAATGCATCCTAGTGGGTGGGTGATGCTGATGGAGAAAGAGAAGATGGTGCCGTGGGGACATTGCAGCACTCATGAGGTGCTGGATTATGTGTGTCCAGTCCCTTCCCTACCCCAGGGGCTGAGAGTGTCCTGGAGGTGGTGTGCATGTGGGGCACAGACACATGAAACCTGAGCAGCCACTGGGCACACTCCTCCTGCTGCTGTGCTGGCCCTCAGAGCCACATTGCGCCATGGCCAGCCCGACCTTTGGCCATAGCACGTCCAGGGGGGCCCCGTGGCACTGGG